CTTGGGAGTCCTATTGTTTAATACATTTTCTCTACTAATCCTTACATCTTAATATAATAGATCGAACTACATCAGATACCACGGTGTCAATAGAGTGGAATGATACGTTGGTAAATAATAGTCCATCGTACGCATACATTTGCACATTTTCTATGATCTGAATTATTGTATCAAAGAAAATGTAACTTAAAGGGGGTACTATTTCAAACTATTAAGATGTCAACTTTATAGTTATTGTACTGTACTCTACGATATTTGTGGTTAATAATTATTTTTATGCTTGTATCGGTGATTGTACACAAAATGGGTAATCTTGTTTTTAACTGGTGTACAGTGGTGGGGGTACTAAAGTTGAGAAGGTCGGGTGAGACGGGCTAATGAGGCCAATTACAGAGTGTAGGGTTGGAGGCAGGCACTTTGAGACACTCTCCTAGTTCTTCACAGCCCGGCGGTGCCCAGTGCTGTAAGGAGGAAAATATCATCTCTCTCTCTCTCTCTCTCTCTCTCTCTCTCTCTCTCTCTCTCTCTCTCTCATACTACTACAACCACTACAACAACACTCACCATCACAGCAGGGTCGCACCAGTTGAGCTGAGGTTCACCACGGCGCAGCTTTGCCCGATGAGCGAACATGGCTTCCAGTAGCTGTGAAGAGACCATAAGTTAGTGTCAGTAAAAGTAAAAAAAGCGCTGAATGACAATTACACCTCATTGCCCACGTGGAAATAGGGTAGCGCTCGCCAGGGTCCACCACGACGTTGAAGAGCACAGGAGCGATGCTGTGATCTGTTGGCTGAGGAGTGGTCACGTTCGCCACCTCTGACCCCGGGCAGAAGTTGATGCCCTAAAAGTGTGATCCTCTATCTTAGTTCATTTTATAATATCTTGAATTGTTTTATCTTATTCTGTCTGGCCGGTCATTGATAACCTGAGTTTGGGATTGTTTCTCTTAACTTGCTATATCTTATCATATATACAGTACATGTATATCTATAATTTATCTTACTTTCTCCTGATAGAAATTGGTGCTCTGGAAAGTGTATATGGTTGTGAGATGTTTGGTAAATTGTTCAAAACTAACACCAAGTAAGAGTGATAAAGTGGATTATTCCTCATACAGTCTTTCTCTCTCTCTCTCTCTCTCTCTCTCTCTCTCTCTCTCTCTCTCTCTCTCACACACACAAAGACTCACGCGTCTCAGCTCGTCAGTAGGAGTGCTCCAGGTCCAGACATGCATCTTGTAGGAGCCTTGACGCACTGCCATCAAGCGATCACCACGATACAGAAATATTGGCCTGAAGAAGATTATGTTTATCATTATCTCTGTGAATTTGAGCATCATTAATAGCCATAAGTATATTGTCTCAGCATCGTGATGACTATAAGCGTAAGTAAGAGGTTATAGAGATCTGAGAGTAATATTGGTAAGATGGCCAAAGTTAATGTCATATGTAGAGGAACTCATTAACCTGCCCGCGGTGTGCCAGATTTTATCATTATAGCAACTAACCTGAAAAATTCGTGGTCAGGGTGAAAGAGGGAAGCTGCTAGAGGCAGGCCATCCATTTCTCGGTCATGTGGAGGTGTGATCCCCGCCAGCTGTAGCGCCGTGGAGAACAAGTCCATTTGTGACCACACCTGTAGGTCGTACAGAATCTCATTAGTGGGATCGGGGTGACTTTGAATATACACCTGTGGGTTTGTTGATATCACTACACCTGCTGGCGGGACATAGACTTAATTAGGACTTAGCTGGTGGGTCACAGAGCCCGGGGCTATAACACCTGGCCACCAGAAGATGCCAGGAGCCCTCATGCCACCCTCAAACGTTGTCTGTTTACCACACAGGAACGGACCGTTGCTGCCTCCTGTTGAGAAAGAGAAACATTCAAGTAGGAAAAGTGAAAAATGGAGAGGAAAACATGAAGAAGGAAAGAGATATAAGGAATAGGAAAGAGTGAGAGAGATAGGGAGGAGGGGCAATCGTAATGCTGAATTTCCTGACAATCTTGTTTTTAAGTATAGATCCAGAGGTTACACGTTTAATGCTACCACTTTCACCTCTTGTTATCTCTCACTGTGGCGTAAAAGAGATAAGTCTTACCTTCCTCCTTACTGACGAGGGCGGCGCCGTTGTCTGAAGTGAAGACCACCAGGGTGTTGTTGTCCACGTTGGCGTCCCTGAGGGCGTTTACTATAGCGCCCACCCCAGCATCCAGCTCCCTCACCGCGTCCCCGTACCGACCTGAACCAGACACAGACTTTGCGAGGAAACTAGAAGAACTATGACTAACATGGAGGAAGGGAAATGACGTAAAGAAACAGAGAAGTATTGAAGGAGAAGGAGAATGACACAGAGAGAAGGATAGACATGATACAGTCATGGGGAGAACTTTGATGTAGAGAAGAGATGAGATTTGACATAGAGACCTTCATCTTAGAGAGGAAAAGACGAATGAAGTCCAGAGAACATTAAAATAGAAGATTAACTTAAGAGAAGAAGAAGACATGAAGTAAACTGGGAAGTAGGTTGTTAGCGAGGTTAAGATGACCAGCAGATAGACTGTGACCATTAACCTCGTCTGATGATACCGTAACTATATATTAGTATTGTAGGAAGGATATTGGGTCAGGAGGGATGCGGCGTAGGAGGATGGTGGCAGGTGGAGGGAGGTTACTGACACACGTGAATCAAGAACTATGTACAACTCTGTATACTTTGGGGATTTAATTAACATAGCAAGACAAACAGAACGCTGCAGGCGACCTCTGACCTCTCCTGCTGGTGCCGTGGAACTTTAGGGAGGCGTAGGTTGGGGCGTGGGTGGCGTCTGGGGCCCACAGCAGGAAAAAAGGTCCCTCCCTCGCCTGGCGCTGGATAAAGGCCACCGCTTCCTCCGTGAACATCTTGGTCATGTTGGACACTCCTGTTGCTCGGTCGATGGCAAAGTCCTTGTAGTATCTGTAACAGGTGAAGTGGTTGTGTATACAGTATGCTGTATATACCCACACTATCTTTAATGGCTCCTGATGTATTACAGTTTATAAGATCATTATTTTTCTCTCAATACGAGACACAAAATGAAATACTTTACATAATACGTAGCCAGACGCATGCAGGTAAGAACGCAACCCTCCCCTACCTGCCGATCATAGAAGCGTTGCGGAAAACGGGAATGTTGGGCGTGGTGACGTCACTGTAGGGACCGAAGTGACAGTTAGGAGATCCGAACCAGTAGTCAAACCCACGTTCCAGGGGCAGGTAAGGTGTCCGATGACCCAGGTGCCTGCAGGCGAGGGAGAGAGACTAGTAGATGTGAAGGAGAGAGAGTGTGAGAAACGTGCAAACACAGACAGACAGACAGACAGACATAGAGAGAGAGAGAGAGAGAGAGAGAGAGAGAGAGAGAGAGAGAGAGAGAGAGAGAGAGAGAGAGCCGAATTAACACAAAAAGGTGGCCGGGTAAACACATCAGGTGGCCGGGTTAACACGACAGGTGGCCGGGTACTCACCACTTCCCGATCAGGCCAGAGGTGTAACCACGGGTCTTCAACAGCTCGGGTAACAACACCTCACTGGCCGAGATGCCGCCCACTATGTTCTGGGGCGTGTAGGCTGTTGGGGCGGGGTAAACAATATAAAACAACGTATAGTTTCTCTAAAAGGGTCACCTGAAGATTAGGCATCCCAATAAAATTCACCTGATGATTAAAACAACACCTCCCTAACCTATCCTAACCTAACCTAACCTAACCTATCCTATCCTAACCTAATCTATCCTAACCTAACCTAATCTATCCTAACCTAACCCTGAGGTAGCTTTAGGGTGTTAAATTATCGTGAGAAATAAGCTGGAGGCTAATCTTCAGGTTATCCCTTAAGAGTTGTACAACCTTATTTGTCTGAAGTGTTTGATTGATTTATTTATTTATTGCGGGATATTTACATAATAAAATCTATGTTGAAACTCCTCCCGACATCGTCTGAGGGATTTAGACATTAAAAAAAAATAATCACAACGAACACACACTACAGTCTCGTGTTCGACAATAAAAACTGGTGGACGAGTCAGGCTAGGAGGGTGGACGAGTCAGGCTAGGAGGGTGGTGTCTCAGGCTAGGAGGGTGGACGAGTCAGGCTAGGAGGGTGGACGAGTCAGGCTAGGAGGGTGGTGTCTCAGGCTAGGAGGGTGGACGAGTCAGACTAGGAGGGATAGTGTGGGATAGAGGAAGTAACTCACCATTCCGTCCATGAGTGTTGTTGGAGTAAAAGCCGTTCCGGATGGGCAGTCGACCAGTGAGGAGGGCGGCGCGGGCTGGTGAGGAAGAGGAGAGAGTTAGTTCTTTACCTGACTTTAGTGAACAGTGATAATAATGTTTTAGGGTTTAACAATGACTAGTGTTAGTTGAACGTTTATAATGACAATATTTATGTATTATTTGTTATATCTTTTAATTTTATCTTATTTTTGAGTTTACTATATTACACACACACACACACACACACACACACACACACACACACACACACACACACACACACACACACACATACACACACACACACACACACACACACACACACACACACACACACACAAAACAGTATATTACCCTAAGGTCGACCTTCTGACTCAGAGGTAAACTACGTCAGGAGACTCTTCCCCTCTCTGGTCTCAGGTGATGATAGTGACCTTTTATGGTACAAATAACATAGTGACTTACCTGTCTGTCTGTCTGTCTGTCTGTCTGTCTGTCTGTCTGTCTGTCTGTCTGTCTGCTCCCTGAAGGCACGACGTGTTCATTAATGCAAACACAGTTGTCACCTTCAAGGCATCTCTAATCTGTTTGGGATTAACGTTATCTCGAAAACTAACCTTAGGCCGAGTAACTGTGAGGATTTACTTGTAAACATTATGACTGAACCGGATAGTGAATGAGAAATTTTATTCTTCAATGGTTAGACCCGGCGACGTAGAGTAATAATAATAATAATAATTTGATATGTCATTATTTAAGACACTCGTGAGATATGTTTTTCCCACTCAAAGTTCTTCTCCTCCTCTGGAAAAGATTAAAAATGACAAAAGTGACTGACTATATTACATACTAGAGCAAATAAGTATACACTATACACAGTATCCTTGAGCTGTGTATACTTGGAAGCCACCTTGATTACTGTATAACCCTTTAACACTACGCCATAGATGATACTTAACCCATTGATGATTACAGTCTACCTTGTTATTACACTTCCTGAACCACAAAGACCCCGAACGAGACGGTAGATGCATACACTGCTGCCTAACTTCTTCCTTTATAATATACACGTCGTCAGATTATATTAGTGGAGATACACACTAAATAAGACACTATAACACAGGTGTCATCAGAGCTCCACAGTGAGGGAGTAACACACAGTACTCACAGGGGGAACAGAGGGGCGCTGCTGTGTACATGGAGGTAGCTGTCAGGCCCTCCCGTGCTAGCTGGTCGAGGTGGGGCGTCTCCCTGCTGGGCTCCCCGTTACTCCCCAGGTCACCCCAACCCATCTGTTAATAGAGAGACAATGGAGAAACGGGAGACACTGGTTTGTTCTCGTCAGTATCATTGACTCAGTAGAGGTGCTGTTAAATTGCTTTGGAAAGTTTAATTAATTTCAGTACTTTGCTTATACCACAAACTTGGATTTTCAAAGTTAGTCTTATATTCGAGGCGTTGTTGAGTGTCTTTGGTAAATTTATGTAAGGGACTTGAGGAATTCTATCTCCGTTTTTAGGTTCAAGAGAAAGATCAGAATTCTGGATCGTCGTGTCGCTATTTTTGGTCTGTTCTCTCTGTATATCTTGATCAGTTTCTAGGAATGTGAAGCAAAATTTAAGCAATATTTGTTTATATGATCCCATGTTATGATAGTCTTACTTCATGTTTTTATTATTTTTTTAATTGTCCAGGAAAAGGTAGTTTTGGAGAATATAAAGCCCAAATATTGTAAATATATATACGTTCCCTATCAAATTTTATGCGTTTTCTCTTTAATTCTCACAGAAAATTTGTCAAAATTCTACGTGGAGGGATAACTATGCAATAAATTACGCTTCACTTACCTTTCGTACCAACCCATATCAATGCGTTCTAGTGCCACAGCAGACTTAATATAAACTAAAATGTTTACTTACATCATCCATGAGCATGATGACGATATTTGGAGAGTCTGACGCCGCCGCAGAGGTCGCTAAAACCACGACAACAAACGACAACCCGCACAACATGTTCACACTGTCCAGGGGGAAGGCGTTCGTGGGAATGGCGTCTTGCCCAGTCCACCCCACGGTGAAGATAACAATGGTCTTCTTATCTCTGACATAATAAGTCAAGTGAGGGTCATGAGGAAGAGAGAGAGATAAAAAGAGAGAGACATAGCCAGAAAAAAAGAGACTAACCTCATTAAATTATGGTGAAATATTAATTCCCATTTCATCACGAAGAGTGACCTTGAGCACTGGCAGGACGGTTCATTGTGGTCTGTAATTGACTGTACTCTACATGGTGTTTTGCCTTGGGTGAAATAAATTACGTTAATAATAAGACAAAATACGGGTATACATTGTAAGAAATGCTGAAAATATATATAAATGTAGGAAAAAAAAAATCTCTAACTAGGAAAAATGGTACAATAATTTGGATAATATATATATATATATATATTTTTTTTTTTTCGGCGATAAGGATTATTATCATTCATTGAACTGTTTATTCATCACTGAAGGGCTCTCTCTCTCTCTCTCTCTCTCTCTCTCTCTCATTTGACAGTTTTTGGATTATAAAATTATTTTACCGTACTTCATCAAATCTGCTTCAAAAACCTTCCGTCGACAATTTCATATTTATTACGATTCGTTTAAATATATATATATATATTTTTTAAGTTCAGGATAAACCAAAAAGTTATGTCATTTTTAATATTCAACAGAAGTTATTTTGCAAACTAAGACTTAACAGAAAACGGTGCTTGAAGACCCTTGTCAAGATGGAACCATTATCTTATACTGTGTCGTGTGATCACCTTAAGGTTACCCCTACCCCACCACCACCACCACTACAACCACCACCACTACAACCACCACCACTACAACCACCACCACTACAACCACCACCATCACCACTACTACAACCACCACTACAACCAACACCATCACCACTACTGCAACCCCCACCCCACCACCACCACCACTACAACCAGCACCATCACCACTACAACCACCACCACCATTACTACAACCACCACTACTACAACCACCACCACTATTACAACCACCACCACCACTACCACCACACAGGGCAGGTTAGGTTAAGACTGGTTAGCGTTGGGATGGTTAATGTTAAGGTGAGATAAGCCGTAGGGGCTAATCTTCAGGTGATGTGTGTTGGGATAAACTGCCCATCCTATCACGGCCCATTCCTCACCCTAGCCTCCGCCCTCCCCTTCCCTCTGCTCCTTAACCCCATTACCTTCTTCCCCTTCTCCCCCTCACCTCTCCCATCCCCTCCCCCTCCAGCTTGACCGCCAGCACTATCCTCACCACTCCACCACCACGTCACCAACACACCAACACACCACCACGTCACCAACACACCGCCACGTCACCAACACACCACCACGTCACTACCACGTCACCAACACACCACCACGTCACCACCACACCACCACATTATCGCACCAAGGTCGTAACATACAGTCCCCGAGGGTAAGAAGGTAAATAACTCCAAGTATTATTTGGTGGAGATGACACTGAGGCCAAGTCATCAGCCACAGCAGGAGGTCGATACACTTGGCTCTCAGGAAAATATAAACGAGATTTTGCCACAGATGATAGCACCATGAAGTTACCCTCTGGCTAATGTGCTTCAGTAATAACACTAACGTCAAGGTCAAAGCAGAGGGTCAAAGCTCCAACACTTACTTGGGTTTAATAGAAATAAAGTCATTGGAAAGCTGAAGTTTATGGTATATTGAGAATTTAGTTTTTAATTATATTTTACTTGACCTTTTTTTTTTATATGAGATGAGTTTGAAATTCTATGTTCTGCTGGGGTCAAATTATCGTGTTGGCATATTTTCGTTTTGTATGAATATCGTATTTAGGTTTAAGACGTCACCGTGTTTAGGCTTAAGGCATCACCCTGTTTTAGGTTTAAGGCATCACCCTGTTTTAGGTTTAAGGCATCACCCTGTTTTAGGTTTAAGGCATCACCCTGTTTTACCATGATATAGAATAAGACAGTATTTTCTCCATACGTACTTCTATCATAGGTCTGATAATGTTGCACTACAAGACTCATTGAATCTGAACCTGTGTGTCTCAACCAGGTAAAGATAATGACTGTTTACCTCCCTCTGGCTATGACAAGATTAGCCAGATGAACTTTCCCAGACATTACGTTATTATTGTCCCACTAAAATAATTACATAATCAGCCTTGTATTTTGTTGTGTTTGTACTGTGATAAATAATAAACAAATCACAGAGGAAGTTATAACCCTGTCCCCCCCCACCTCCCTATCGGTGTTTATGAGAAACTATTACGTGGCTGAAGTTGAAGATCCTCCTAGCATGTATTGATATATATTTTGTCTGTTCTTCCTGCTACACTTCCTGAGGCTTTATTGCTTACGTGACAAACTCACCGACGGCTATGACACCACACGACCCATTACACGAGTTCAAGGTTCCTAGGCTCTGTTTAATGACGGGTTCCAGACGGGTTATGTACGTATATCAGGATTTGAGGTCGTTAGTGATTGTGTTGTATTACCCACCAGAATTATATTAACCTCACCATCACTTCAATATCCTCACCATAGCATATTATCCTCACCGTGACTTCATTAGCTTCATCTTGACAATCCTCAGCCCATGGTCTTACTCTCTTCATCACATCTTTGCTACCCACTGTCAGCACATCCCTCCTCCATATCTTTATCATCTCCCCAAAACTCTCCCATACCATTACCATACCATTACTCCCCCCTATAACTTCATTACACACACACACACACACACACACACACACACACACACACACACACACACACACACACACACACACACTTACACACTGACGATTCAGAGGCGGACCCAAACTAATTCCCTGCGGGCCGCCGAGAAATTTTGTACTAGACAACTCCTGGTACAAGGTCAAGTCACCTGCACGTCTAACACTACTTTCAACGCAAACATTTCTGGCAATTTATACAAGTTTACAAATCTCTAATAGTAACTTTCCTTTATAAATACAATTACAATCGCCAGTAGAGTCTTTGATAAAATAGACCATCGATTTGTTTACTCTCTGCCGCCCTGCAAGAGTCATCATCCTTGCTAGCCTGTAAACAATGATGAGAATGATGACGTTTCTACCTATATTGGCACCTGTAATTGTAAATATCCCTCTACCTGAACCTCTGTATGTTGTTTTTTTTTCCTACCTGTAACTGTATCTGTAGCTACACCTGTACCCTTACCACTGCTGCAGAAATTAAATGTTTTGTGTTTTGTAATCGTCGTTGTTAAAGATCCGTCAATGTGTTCATCTGTGTTTACCTCCGAGACTCTTGAATGTTTAAGTGGCTAGCCAGTTTCAGTACCCCACCATCTCTCACACTGAACCAATGCTCTCTCTCTCTCTCTCTCTCTCTCTCTCTCTTTCTTCTATTCCTTATGTGTTTTTTTCTACCCAGCTGTCCAGTGCGCTAAGTTTTGCGGAGTCACATGTGCTGGCAGAGGATACGGGTTATATAAACGTGATTTAGAGCGCGACCGTCAGATAATAGCTGGACTAGAACCTTATATTAGTGTATAATGGAAGGTATCCCGGAGTAGTGGCCATGTCAGCTCTCGGTTGGTTAGGCCTATAGTGTTTCCTGCGTATTCTGTGGTCAATTTAAAAGTACGTAAATGTGGATTAGGTGAAAACTAACACCCTAGTTTATTTCACCTGATGATTAAACCCCCTAACGTTACCTAGGGGGTGGAGGTTAGAGGTTAGGCTGTTAGGTTAGTATCAGGGTGTTAAATCATCGGACGAAAGCTGGCGGGGGTAATTTTACACACACACACACACACACACACACACACACACACACACACACACACACACACACAGCGTTTTTTCCTGTAGACCTATGGAGCGTCAACAGATATATTTTCGTTTCAGTGTATTAATTCAGAAGCATCAGTCCAGGTGTTGGGAGAGAGAGAGAGAGAGAGAGAGAGAGAGAGAGAGAGAGAGAGAGAGAGAGAGAGAGAGAGAGAGAGAGAGAGAGAGAGAGAGAGAGAGAGAGAGAGAGAGAGAGAGAGAGAGAGTAGACACAAGTGCTATTTACTATCACTGCTATTATTAAATCATATTATTTTGTGTTTTATTAATGTCATATACTAGAATACAGATACAGGTAGAATTACAGGTAGAGTTACAGCTACAGGTACAGGTATTTCACAATAATAGCAGCCCACTAGCAGCTACGTATGATCGATGTGCAGTGGTAGTGTTAGTAATTTAGAAGCGATACCTCGACTACATTAATTTTAAGATGGTGGCAACTTACCGAGATTATTCCTGATCATTGTACATTATTACGTAACAGACTCTTGTAGTGCTTAATTTAGAAACAACAGCACTGGTCCAGGTTACAGGTACAATTAATATTAAAGGTACAGGAACTAATACAGGTACAGTTAATAATGCAGTTACAGGTACAGTTACTAATACAGGTACAGTTAATAATACAGATACAGTTAATATTACAGGTACAGTTACAGGTACAGGTACTAATACAGGTACAGTTAATAATACAGATACAGTTAATATTACAGGTACAGTTAATAATACAGATACAGTTAATAATACAGGTACAGTTAATAATACAGGTAAAGTTACAGGTACAGTTAATACAGATATAGTTACTAATACAGGTACAGTTAATAATAAAGGTACAGTTACAAGTACAGTTAATAATACAGGTGCAGTTACAGGTAGTTAATAATACAGTTACTAGGGCATGTAGAGGTACTAGCAAAGGTACATAAATCATAAACTAGCAGCACAACACACTAGTCACTAGTCACTTCCACACTATGCTACACACACACACACACACACACACACACACACACACACACACACACACACACACACACACACACACACACACGGTACCTCACAGTGTTAACGAGGCCCTTAGCGGCTTAACTAGAAAGTGTGTGTGTGTGTCTGTGTGTGTGTGAGTCTTTTGTAGTGGTGATG